AGGAGATAGCATCAGCCAGAGTTATTAAGACAAGACTAGCTAATGTCCAGATGACTATTAAGAGATTGGAAGTGGGAGGTGTCAATTAATAAAGGATTGGAGAACAGACGCAGGGTCAGCCCCAGTTCTTCTACAATACACTGTAGAGTAGTCTATCTGATGAAGTAGACTCAGAGTCCATCTACACCAGGGGTAGGCAACCTTTCCCCTTTAAGGGCCAAGGGACTTCAGCTCCCAGAATCCCAGGAGCTATTGGCCAACATGGGACTATTGGCCAACATGGCTGAGGCCTCTGGGAGCTGAAGTCCCTCGGCCCTTAAAGGGGAAAGGTTGCCTACCCCTGATCTACACTGTAGAAATAATACAGTTTGACACTAGTTTTAACTGCCATGGCGCCATACTACAGAATCCTGGGATTTCTAGTTTTGTAAGACACCACTCCTCTTTGGCAGAGAAGGCTAAAGACTTTGTAAAACTATAAATTCCAAGATCCCATAGGATGGGGCTACAGCATTTAAAGTGGTATCAAACTGCATTATTTCTACATTGTGGATGCACCCAAGTCTATGAAAGCTTATGCTATAAACTTCTTTCTCCGAGTTAATCTCAAAGGTATCACATGATACCTGCTCTACAACAGGGTTAATCAAGTGGGCCCTTCATACATTTTGGACTACTGTTTCCAGCATTCCTAACCATTGACCATGATGCCTAGGACTAATGAGAGTAACAGTCCTTTCATATCTGGAGGACCATTGCTACCCACCCCCACTATAAAGGAAACAAATTTGGCTGTTTTGGTAAAGAGGTGCTGGGAACATGCCCTTGCTCCTTGCTGCCTGTCTCTTTGAATTCCCTTAACCCAAGGCTACCATTTATTTGTTCAAACTAGGTGAGGACATGACACCTGAAGGGAGACGGCAGCTTGCACTATTCTTGGTAAGTTCCATTTGCTTGTCAGAGCTCACAGATGCTACATGCATTTGCCATGCATGTGTGTCTCATATATTTCTCATTTTCTGTATCAAAGAATCTTGTAGTTTTAGGGCCAGGTTAGTGATATTCATCAGAATCTTGTATCACCTTTTAATTAACGTAACTTTATGTATGCTTAGTTAAGTAGCAGAGGCACTAAAAAACCCTGTTACTGAATTGCAAAGATGCCAGTATGGCATAGTGGTTTGAGTGTGGACTAGGACTCTAGAGAGCAGGGTTCAAATCCCTGCTCGGCCATGAAAACCCAATGGATGCCCTTGGGCAAGTCATACTCTCAGTCTCAGAGGATGGCAATGGCAAACCCCCTGTGAAGAAGCCTGCCAAGAAAATCACCATAAGTTGGAAACAACTTGAAGGCACAACACACAAACATCAGGACATCAGCAAGAGTGCCCAGTGTGCTTTGGGACCAATGTACATTGGTGTAATGATGCATATTGAGTGTTTTACTGCTTCTGCTACATAGTAATGTAACCGCAGCCCTCTCCTGGATAGGATCTAGGAAGCTGAAGCTGATGCCTGGCAAAATAGGTTGGGGGGCAAGTTACAATTTATGGCAGTAGCATCATAATTGTAACTAAGTAGCAGTTGTGAATATGGAACCGTTAGATAACCACAACTGTTTCATAGTCACAATCACAAACAATATGAACCATCTGAACAACATCCACCCAAACATCCAGTTCACAGTGGAAAAAGAAAAGGAAGGAACATGGCCATTCTTGGATGTCCCTGGTATCCATAAACCTAACCAATGTTTGGGCCACACAGTATACAGAAAACCTACACACACAGACAGATACATACACAAGAACTCCAGCCATCATCCAGGACAAAAAAGAAGCACAATAAAAACATTGGTAGACCAGGCAAAAGGGATCTGTGAACCCCACTTCAATATGAATTAAAACATCTAGACTGGGCTGTACAGACTAATGGTTACTCCAGCTCAGACATCAGAAGGATTGCCAGACCCAGAAAAACCCGTAGAAGTGAAGACAAACAGCCACCCAAAGGGAAGGTATTTTTACCATACATCAAAGGAGTTACAGACAGGATAGGGAAACTGATTAGGAAACACAACCTCAAAATAGTCTGCAAACTGACCAAAAAAATCCAGCAAATGCTTTGCTCAGCAAAGGACAGGAGAGATCCTCTCATGGCTGCAGAAGTTTACTGCATACCGTGCAGCTGCAGACAAGTCTACATAGAGGTCACTAAACAGTATTCAAACACGAATCAAGGAATATGAGAGACACTGCAGACTGAGTCAGTCAGAAAAATCAGCAGTAGCAGAACACATTATAAACCATCCTGGGAATAAAATGCTGTTTGAAAATACTGAAATTCTGGACCATGCCAACAACTATCGGGGTCAGAATGCATAAGGAAGCCATTGAATTCCACAAACACCTAGACAACTTCTACAAGAAAGAAGAAACCCTTAAAGTAAACAAGGTTTGGCTACCAGTCCTAAAAAACACCAAAATTAAGACCCAGCAAATGCAAATGAAAACCACCCAAGGTTTTCCCAGCAGACAATGGATCACTAATTAAATAGACACAAATCCTTGCATATCTACCCACCCTGAGGCCTTGCCATTCAACAACAGAACAATACACAGATTAATATGCAAATCACATCCTCTCAACCAAGGGTCACACAGTATATATACCCCACTCACTTCCATGCCAGCATCCTCTGAAGATGCCAGCCACAGATGCTGGTGAAACATCAGGAATAAACTCTTCTAGAACATGGACACATAGTCCAAAAAAACCCACAAAAAACTATACCTTGCCAGGCATCAACTGCATGGGGGAAGGAAGGCCATTCTGCCAACAATCAGTATAGTTGAATGAAGTTTCTGTCCGGATTTGGTGTGGTTGGGGCAGGAGAAGTTACTTAGAGGCATTGCAGACTGGCCTAAAGGGTGGGGTTGGAGTGGGGCAACCCCACCCTGACGCTGTCCTGATGCTGTGCATCCGTTTGCACGGTGTGCGGCATCAGGACGCCCTCCCAGCACAGCATGTAGACGCTGCGGCAAAAGGGCGCGGAAAAGCCACATGGGGTTGCCACATCCCCGATCCACTGCTAGCAGGGGCGGCCCAGAGCCGACCAAAACAGGCCATCTGTAAAGGCCCTTAGTTACATCAGCTGCATGGAGAGAAGGAGGACCATGTTTAACACATCTAAATCTTGACTGACCCTAATGGACTGATTCCCATCTGTCACACCTAATCCTAACTGAACTAAATCTAGCTAATCTCTCTTTCTGACCTTGATTAATTCTCATGTTTCTAATTCTGACAGACTCATATCTCTCTTACACATACTTTTAAAAATCACATCAGGTACTTAGCCAGTGACCAGCCACTCCCAGCATTACATACTCTCATCTCCTCTCAACAGATCCTTACCTTATGAGAGATTCAATATAAGACAGCCATAACCATATTTTACCTCAATTTCTCTAGGAAACACACTAACACTAATTTTTTTGCAGCAGTCCATAACTTCACAGCTCCTTTCAGTTTCTCATTTTTTCCCCTTTTAACTGTGCAGGCCCGGAAGCATCTACAAAACTTTGAAGCGACACACTGCACTCCACTCCCTCCTCAAGATTTTCACCTCCCATGGAGCTTATAGCATTCCCTTTCCCACGACACTGATGGCTTCCTGTTTTGATGTCTTCCCAGCCCACCTGCTGAGTGCTTTTCTTGTGTGTGATATGTCTGATGGTCATTGTTATCCTCCCATGTGCATACTGTAAATCTGCCTCCCCTCCTCTGTAATATTTATCCTCTAACCCCCAAACCCTTGTACCATAAAGGGTTCACAATAAAGATGGTATTTTTTATACTTGCTGTCTCTTTTTTTCCTCCCCATCTTATGATATATATTAGAAAGGGTATATTCTGCTGCCAGAAAGTTACAGGCTGAAGTCCTTTTTGTGGTAGCTGCAGAGGGAGAAATTCACTACCTCACACAATAACCCCTTCCCACTTAAAACCCACCTGTCTGTTGTACACACCTCAACACAGCCCATGTAGTGACCAGTGACCAGGAGGTGACTGTGAAGTGTCTGGCTGTATCTCCGTAGCCAGGTGCACAATGATGAGGGCATCCTTCAGGACTTCCTAGGTATCTTCTGGAAGTCCCAGAAAATCACATTGTGCATCTGATCTGATTCTCTCCATGTGCCACTACATGGCTGCGTCAAGGAGGGAGCAGCAAAAGACAGGTGTATTTTAAGAGCAGGGAGGGGGAGATGGGATATAGAGCCAAAACAGACTGGAGAAATAATCCAGCTTCAGTCCACTTTAACTGCCCTGGCTCAATGCTAGGGAATTCTGGGAACTGTAGTTTTTTTGAGACATTTAGCCTTCTGTGTCAGTTCTGGTGCCACAATATACAGTTTCCAAAATTCCCTAGCACTGAGCCAGGGCAGTTAAAGTGATCTCAAACTGGATTATTTCTGCAGTCTCTTTTAGCCTGTAATTTCACCTTGGTCAAACTTTAAAGGGAAAGGTAGTCCTTGACATGAATGTCTAGTCGTAACCAACTGTAGAGGGTGGTGCTGTGGCCAACATGACTGCACCGAACTCTATTACCTTCCGACCAAATATTTATCTACTTGAATTTGCATTCTTTCGAACTGCTAGGCTGGCAGGAGCTGGGACTAGTGACAGGAGCTCAACCCATCATGCAGCACTCGGGCCTCAAACTGCCAACCTTCTGATCTTCTGATCATCAGAATTGGCGTCTCAACCACTAAGCTACCATATCAAACTTTACATCCCATCTAATGAAAAGTTGTGGCCACAACATTCAAGTCTCTAGAGGAGGGGTAGAAATTGTGCAGCCCTCCAGTTATGGACTGCATCCTCCAGCATGCCTAACTTTTGGCTATATTGACTAGGGTTGTTGGGAATTGTAGTCCAACAACACCTGGAGGGCTGCACCATTCCTTCCCCTGCTCTATAGATTCATCACCCAAGTGTGAGGCTCTGCTACCACTGGTTGAGTTCCTGGGTTGTCCTCAAGGATTTATGCTCATTAGGACAATTGAATCTTTGAAAGTGCTGCTTCTGTGAGAAGCGTGGTATAATTCCTTTTACCCATGCCGCCAACCGCAAAACTGAATAGGAAGAAACTGCCGGAAGAAGTCATGATGGCTGGCAACGGGATTGGAACAATTCATGAAGGATGGGGCTATCTTTGACTGCTAGTTATGACTATATGGCTATATTCCTTACAGTTGTCAAAGGTAGGCTACCACTGTACGCAGGTGGCTAGACATCATGAGGGTATGGTTGCCCATATGCAGTGATGTAGACTCAAGATGATTGATTCGGACTCAAGTACGGTACTTTCAGTGACTCGACTTGGATTCGACTCGGCAGTGACACTGACTTGACTCAACTTGTGACTTGTATATTTTTAGCAATTGACTTGCTGATACCGTTCACTTTGAGCAGCAGGCAAAACCTGCCCCTAGAGCACAGGTTGCTTTTCTTGGAGAACAGCAGACGTGTTAGACGATGGGATTGAGGCCGAAGGATCTTTCTAAAGCAGGGGTAGGCAACCTGTCCCCTTTAAGGGCCGAGGGACTTCAGCTCCCAGAAGCCTCAGCAATGTTGGCCAATAGTCCCATGTTGGCCAATAGCTCCTGGGATTCTGGGAGTTGAAGTCTCTCGGCCCTTAAAGGGGACAGGTTGCCTACCCCTGTTCTAAAGCTTCTGAAAAGAAGGCTCCTCTGATGTGCAGTGGGGACAGACTGCCAAGCAGACCTCAACCCCCATTTCAAGCCCATTGCCTAACACGTTTGCTGTTCCCCTTCAAGAAACGCACCCCGTCTCCTTTTTTTTCTGTTAAAGTTGGCTCCCAGACTTGAGACTCAACTTGAGACTTGACAGTATCATGCAAGGACTTGAGACTCAACTTTATTATTATTATTATTATTATTATTATTATTATTATTATTATTATTATTATTATTACTTGAGACTTGTAAGTAGAGACTTAAGACTTGGAGTAAAAGACTTGAATAAATCACTGCCCAGATGTTCTGCTCATGGGTCTGTTGTACACAACTAGATTGGATGCACCTTTGGTCTGATCGCAGATGGTTTTTCTTATGTTGTAAGATGGGGTTGGTTGACTAAAGAAAAATATATATAAAGTTTACGCCTTACAAACTGAACTTGAACCTTCTGAAAAGGCAGGGGCCCCC